TAGTTAAAAGAGTTAATAGATAAGACTGAGATTTTTAAAAAAAAACACTTGCAAGATGAGCTTTCTTGTAAGAGAAATCCTGAAAGTAGAGAACTAAATAGAAAGAAAAGCATTTTAGACTATATCCCATTATACAATGCACATGAAGTATGTTCTCTGCAGGAAAATCTATGGCAGACAAGTCAAGCACAAGGCCTGGGGGCTGGATGCGGCCTGCGAAGTGGTTTCATGAGGCCCGCGAAGCCATCCTGGAAACAGTGAGGGAACAGCCCCCACTGCCTCGGCCCTGGCCCAGGCCAGGTGGGAGTCAATGTACAATTTCGTGGTGGCCATCTATGCTGAAAGGCATTCAGTCTTAGCTCCACAAGGCCATCTAGAAACAGTGAGGAACCAGCTCCTGCCGTGTCGGCCCCGCCCCCTGGGTGCATGCTGGGGAGATGTCATCCTTTGTGAGGAATGAAGAAATGGACCATGCCTTGGCGCTTGCCCTGGTCCCACCCCCTTCTGCCAGAGACCCTCAGATCTGTCCCACTCCTGCCCAGGCACCCTTGACGCGAATAGGGTTGCCAGGTGTCCACTATTTGAGCGGACAGTCCGCTTTTTCACATTATATTCACTATTTTTTTCACAAAATAGTGGACATTTTTTTTATTCAAAAGCTTTATGATGAAATGGTACGTAATCTAAAGCTGTACAGTCTACTTTTTTTACTACTTAACCCCCCCCGCTTGTCCGCTATTTTTTGGAAGCAGACCTGGCAACCCTAGACGCGAACGATGTAGAGCTGGCCATGCCCACCCAGTAGGCCACACCCACTCCATCCACGCCCACCTAGTAGGCCGCACCCACCTGGCCCCCCAAGGGCAACCGCAATGCTGATGCAGCCCTCAATGAAATTGAGTTTGACATCCCTGATCTATGGTGACAATAAATCAATATACTTCAGTGTTTTAAATGTTACCTTTCAGTCCATTTTGTCCTCGTGGACCTGGATAACCTTGCTTGCCTGCAGGACCTTGAACTCCTGGATAGCCCTTCAGCCCAATGGAATAACCTGCAGAAGAGGAAGACTAGAGTGACTGAGGGAGACTGAGATGTTTACGCAGTTCTGTATCAGCATTAAGGGGTTAGCTTGTCCATGCTAAGACTTACGAAAAAGCCTGAAAGCAAGATGTGTGAGATAGCATTGATATTAGTTGTTGGGAGATTTACATCTTTCTTTCTTTTGATCAGCTCAAAATATTTATATATGAGTATAATAGCACTGTTATTCCCCCCCCCCCCTTCTTTCAGATATCAGGCAGCAGCAGAAGGGTTTTTTCCCCCTAAGCCTTTAAAAACCAGTATATAAATATCCATTCCATTTACCTGGACTTCCTGGGTGGCCTGGAGATCCAGGGAAGCCAGGTGCTCCTGGTTCACCATCTAAACCGGGAGGACCAGGATGAAGAGCTGGGAAGCCAGGATCGCCAGTGAAGCCTTTGGGGCCCATTTCTCCAGGAAAACCTCTTCGCACAGTAACATCTGGAATGGGGGAAAAAAGTGGCTATGTATGATGTTAGCTAATGTGATATTTGATGGTATGAGGGCCATAACCCAAAATACTTCTTTCCTGATCCTTCCCCCGCTTGACTTCTTGTGTAGGTGGAATCTGGCCCTCTCTTCCTAACCTATCCCAGTGTGATGCCATGTAAGAGTTTAACAATTTGACCTGACTAGTAGTTTTCTATCATATTTTGAACTAGCTACAACATCTGAATCATTCTAAAGACAGCTTCAAATAAAGTTCATTATAGTAATGTAGTCCAATGGTGAGGTTCTGAAGTAATAAAAGTAGAACCACCTTCATGATCCAGGTAGAGCAGCAACTGTCACTCCTTCTGAAGCTGGGCATAGGCTCCACTGGCTACAGCTTCCATCTGCTGCTGAAAAAGGAGCCACCAGCCCAGGAAGATCCTCGAGCTGCAGATCAACTCCTTCAGAGGTAGATGACCCCATCAAGCGCCACTACTATGGCTGATGTTATCTGATGCCATCAAATTTAAGCTTAATCTGGGGTTTAATCTGATTTTTTTTCTCCCCATTCAGCCACTGAATATATTCTGGATAAGTATATATTGGACAACAAATGTTTTCAAAGATTTTGCTTCCTGAAAAACTTTTGATGATTATGATAGACCCTTTCAAACTGAACACAAATATAATTTCACAACAATATAGGAATAGAAAATAAGAGAAATAAGAAATTAACTTTTACTGACTATAATGTATTTAATTGCATAATGTTTCTGACATGCTACATGAGTTCAACAGGGCTAAAAATGATTTTCCTTTGCACTCAGCTGCTGATTTTCCTTTGCACACAGTGTCCAATGCATCTCACTACAGTGCCCAACAATAGTTAGCAGTACTGATAGATTCCAATTGCAACCACATCAGCTCTTTTCCAATGCTCTGAGAGTTCCCCTGTGCTCTAGAGCTCTGAAATATTTTTGTTCAATGGTTCCAAGATTATATTTGCCAACTCCTTCAGAAACATAGGATATAAACCATCTGGTCCTGGTGATTTGAACTCATCTAGAGTGGATAGGTGTTGTCTCACCATTTTCTAGCCTAGTTTGACTTGCATTCCTATTCTGTCCCCACGTTGCTTTCCATAGGTTGGGCTATTTTTTCCCTTTTGCATGGAGACCGTTGCAAAAAAAGAAATTAAGCAGTTCCGCTTTCTCCCTGTTGCCTGTCATCTTCTTGCCCAATCATTTCCTTAACTCTCTTCTTATTCCTTAAATATTGAAAGAAATCTTTAGGGGTATTTTTTGCATGTGTTGTGAGTCTTAGTTCATTCTGAGCATTAGCTCCCTGACTCCATCCTTGCAGATTTGGGCTATTTGCTGGAATTCTATTCTAGTTATATGTCCTTCTTTCCATTTTTTATATTTGTCCTTTTTGTCTCTCAGTTTGTCAGAGAGTTCTTTATGCACCATGATGGTTTTATCTGTGTTATCTCTTGTTTTTCTTTCTCTGGATTATTGTGTTTTTATAATTTCATTTTTCAAAATTTCCAAAGCATTTTAAATTGTTTTTCCCTTTAGGATTTCCATTCATGGAATCTTTCCTAATCTCTGTTTTAGGCTTGTTAAACTCAGCTTTCCTAAAGTCTAAAACAGTAGTTTGACTTTGTTTGATTACTTGTATCTGCATTATGTTGAATTCTAGTATGAATTGAATTCTTTCCCTTCTACAACTTCTACCTCCTCTTTCATTTAATTCCTATTAGTAACAATTAAGTCCAGCATAGTTGACCTTCTAGTTATCTCTTCTATCTTTTGGATGACAAAGTTATTAGCTAGGCCCATAAGGAACCTATTTAATCTCCACGCTAGTTGCAGAGTTTGTCTCTCAGGGTAGTTAAAGTCCCCCATTGCTACTGTGATGTGTTTCCTAAATACCTTAGCTAACTAATTAGCAAAAGGTTCATTTGTCATGGTTCCGACTAATGAAACACTTCAAAGAACTTCCAGGCATTGTTTATCCTAAAAAGTCTTTTATTCATGTAACAAAATGTCGGCATGGCATGAATGAGGGATGCTAAGATCTAAATTCTCCTCCCCTGAGCTGAGCACATATTTTGCCAGCATGTTCCCTCCCTTAATTTGCTGTCATAAATCACATTCTCCTATCAGTTTGAAGGTCAAAGGTTCCCGTGGGATTTTTATCTAATATAATTACCCACATACATTCTTTCCCCTCCCCTCCCAGCATCATCTCTGAGTTAACTCTAAAAATACCACACAGCTCTGCATATTTTGTCAGAGCAAGAATATCCAATGTTAGCAGCATTGACATCCAGCTCCCCTTAAAAAAAACCAGATCCTGGAGTGTAAACAAAAGCATATGTTAAGGGCTATTTTTCAGTTTGTTGGGGTATTTCGCATGAAACCTTTTGATGAGTCTGTCAGCTTTCACCTTGCTGGATTTCACCCAGGTGGCTTCAGACAATGGGTATCCCTTCCATTGTACTAAGTATTGCAATTTCCCTTTAAAAATTCTAGAGTCAAGAATACGTTTCACTTCATAGTGGGTCTGTCCCGCAACTATGAGGGGCCCGGGTGCCTTCTTAGGGGGAAGTCTTAAAGTGGAACCCCGATAAGGTTTCAACAAGCTGCAATGGAAGACTGGGCAAATTCTCCCTAAAAGTCTAGGGAGTTTTAGTTCTACAGTGACCGGATTGATGATCCTTACAATAGGAAAAGGCCCCAAGAATTTCGGTCCTAACTTCTTACTGGGTAATTTGAGGCATAAATATTTAGTCGATAGATAAACCTTTTCCCCAACTTGGAATGTTCTTTGGGAAGCCCTCTTTTTATCAGCCTGCTTTTTATAGGTTTCAAAAGCCTTTTTAAAAGCAGTTTTCATGTTTCTCCAAACTTCTTCCCACCCCGTCACCCATTGGTCAAGTGTCTGGGAAGTGGAGGGCACCTGAGGGTATTCAGGTACTGGGCTGAACTCTTTTCCTGTGGCCACTCTGAAAGGCATGTAGCCGGTGCTGCTGTGCACAGAATTATTGTATGCCACCTCCGCGAAAGGGAGGAGGTCAGTCCAGTTTGTCTGTTGGTAGGAAACATAGCATCTGAGATATTGCTCCACCATTTTGTTAGCGGATTCTGCAGCCCCATTGGTGGCTGGATGAAAAGCAGATGATAAGCCTTGAGATGATCCAATTAATTTAAGAAAACTCCTCCAAAACTTCGCTGTGAACTGCACACCCCTGTCCAAAATTATTCGCTTAGGGGTGCCATGCCCCTAATTGTTTCAGGAACAATTTGGTCAGTCGGGCAGATGGGAGCTCTTTGCAGGCAATAAAATGAGCCTGCTTCGAGAACAGGTCTATCACAGTCCATATGACAGTATTTCCTCTACTTTCAGGTAGGTCTACTATAAAGTCCATAGCTATTTCTTCCCATGGTTGAGAAGGGTCTGCCACCGGCTATAGTAACCCAGGAGTTTTCCTTGGGATTCTTTTCATTGTGGCACATACAGTACAACTTTTTACATAGTTTTCCACATCCTGTTTGAGCCCCAGCCACCAAAATTTCCGACGGGTGAGGTGTAGAGTTTTTAAATATCCAAAGTGTCCAGCCTGTTTTACATCATGGCTGAGAGCATTAAGACAGAGGGCTTCAGGCAAATATAGTTTCCCCCCTTTGTAGGCCAAGCCATCACTGCACGTTAGGGAGGTTTGATTATCTTTGAACCATTGATCAGTGAGGAGCTCTTGTTTGATTTTCTTTACCCCAGGGTCATCAGGATTAGGGACTCTGCGAGGCGTGAGTTGAGCGGCAGTTTGAGGACTGGAGATAATTGCCTCATTAACCTCTTCACGTTCGATTTAGTACTGGGGCAATCTCGATAGCGCATCAGCTAGGAAGTTTTTTCCTCCCGGTATGTACTTTAGAGTGAAGTTGAAATGGTTAAAGTACTATGCCCACCATACTTGCTTTGGGAACAATTTGTGGGGAGTTTTCAGTGCCTCTAGGTTTTTGTGATCTATCCATACTTCAAAAGGCACCTTGCTCCCTTCTAGATAGTGTTGCCAGTTCAACAGCCCCCACCGAATCGCGAAGGCCTCTTTCTCCCAGATTGCCCATCTCCGCTCGCTTTCAGTAAACTTTTTAGAGGTGTAGGCGCAGGGTTGCAGGACCCCATTTTTGTTCTTTTGCAGTAATACAGCTCCAACTGCCACATCGCTGATATCGGCTTGAATTACAAAGGGCTCCCCTGGGCAGGGGTGCTTTAGGACCAGTTCAGCAGCAAATAGAGTCTTTAAATTCTCAAAAGCTGTTTGACAGCCCATCGTCCATGCAAGTGGTTGGCCCGGTCGCAGCTTCCCTCCTCTCTTGCCTGTTTTGAGTAGTTCTATAAGGGGTAGGGTAATTTCAGCAAAAGAGGGGATGAATTGACGATAGAAGTTGGCAAAACCTAGAAAGCTCTGGAGCTGTTTGCGAGTTTTGGGGGGCTGCCATTCAATTATAGCTTTCACCTTGGCTGGATCCATTTCAATGCCCTCGTTGGGAATTCTGTAGCCAAGGTAATCTAATTGGGTCTGGTGAAATTCACATTTTGACAATTTGGCATACAACTTGGCATTCAATAGTTTCTTTAACACTTCTCTCACCAGCTTTATGTGATCAATCATATCAATCAGGATATCATCAAGATACACCAAAACCCCTTTGTACAAGTGATCATGTAGGACCTCATTAATCAACTGCATGAATATGGCTGGGGCCCCCTGTAGTCCAAATGGCATGACCTTGAATTGATAGCTCCCCATGGGGCAGTTGAAGGCAGTTTTCCACTCGTCTCCCTGCTTTATTCTCACCCGGTAATATGCCTCTCTCAGGACTAATTTAGCGAAGACACACCCCTTAGCCAAATAAGTTAATAAGTCCTTTAGGAGGGGGAGGGGGTATTTGTTTTCCACACTCACAGCATTGGGACCCTTATAGTCTACGCAGAGACGA